GAAATTAACGAGGATTCGCGTTATTCGCGTGAATTTTCGATTTCAAACGGCGAGTACTGTACATGAATCAGCAGTAAGCAGACTAGCATGCAGGAGTGGGGGGAAGACAGAGATTCGCAGCATTGCTTTATGCTTCGTAACATCCGAAAAGCTCCTAATACACGAAAGCCCAAAATTCAGAAAAATCCCTCTCATGACATGGTGCCTTGCACCATAGGCCCTCAAAAGTAGCCTAGCGATAAATAGAGCATTTGGAATACTTGAAGTTCCATGGTGCTGCAGATTCCGATCAATTGAGCCATCAGGATTGTGCCATATTTAGACTAGACAAAATAAAGAACTTTTATTACTTGATGAGGTGTGAAAAAAGGCGATGAGATTCCTGTGAGCATTCGCACGAAAAACCTGTGTTTGCTATCCGCGTGTAGCACATCCTCGACCATTGCAGGTGAGGAAAAAGCCGACACTCGGCGTACCGATGTAAGAATTTCCGTAGCGGTCGACGTTGTAGCCACCACCTCCGAAGAGTCTTCCTAACAGCGAAGGAGCTCGATAGCTGTTGTATTGCTGATAGTAACCTGGGTACTGATTATAGCCATAGGAGGAGTATTGGTTGTATCCATAAGGACTGGAGTAGTAGGATGGTCGGGAATAACCGTACTGAGAGTAGTAGGAGCCGTACTGCGAGAGCACTGTAGTGAGGAGAGCAGTGAAAATTGCGAACAGTAGAAACATTGCTGTTGGTGGTAGTTGACGATGGTCAAGCATACATATATAGTAACAGAACAGGAGCTGTTTAAGTGGTGATTTGATGGGGTCGAGGGGTTGTTAAGCCGCGCGGATCTGCTGCTTCCCTGTTCAGCACCTAGTTCGCAATTGTCGCTTTCTCCCTTACGTAATTCAATCAAAATCTATTATCGTCTTTCCAATCACGTTGGCTCTCGCTTTTTATATTCCTCACGTTCATTTCATAACATAAGCCTTTTCTTACCATCAACGCATTACCGATTAGCAGGTAAACTCAGGCCGTGAGAGTTAGCGCTAATTGCAAGAGCGTTATCGCCATAAACTATGAACTGTCTTGAAAGCGTTTCGATTGCGATCGGATAAATGAAAATACTATCACCTCCTGGAAATAGCTCAAAGGAAATTACACGGAAATGAAGAAACTCGCTCCTAGCGCAGTTAACGAATACTGGTTCTTAATTTACCAGTCGATCCTTGTCGAGGTCGTTTTATGACCAACTTCGCCCATGATTTAGTGTTCGTTTACGCTAAACAGGTTTTAGGTGGCTACGAGACATGGAGAAGCTAGTTTTGTGTGATCTTAACTTCGGAGACCTGAAGAGTTCAGGAACCTGAGAATAACTGATTGACTATGCTTAATTGTAGTCACTTAACTGTGGTCAAAGCTAGTGCAGTGATAACAAGTGCCCTAACAAAGAAACCGGCTCCTGGCCCCATCAACAACCCTGCTGTGCACCAACCTGTTCCAAGTACATGCTAATAGATCTGCCTGGTGGGATTGCAACGAGCTTCGTTAGGCTTCCCTGCGTTTGCGAATGGAAGTGAAGAGTATGGCGTATGCTCAAAGGCAGTGGGCATGATAACGGGAGACTGAACCAGGGACGTACAGCTGCGGTGAAAAATGTTTGCCGAAGCGAGTCTCCCTGCGGTACACTACTTCTACTTGATGATCTCTTAAATAAACTGTAGATTTTACTCCCTTCTTTGCTCTTCCTCTTCTTTCTTATGGTTAGTGCCTAAAATCCTCAGAACACAAGGGTTCAAAAAATCTCAGGAGACAAATCTCGGGAGCATGTCAAGATTTGAACTAACTTGATCGGGTGCAGAAAAGCACGCAAATCCAATGCCAAACAACACAGTACCAGAAAAGACTAAAGACTCACCTAGCCTAGAAGGGTGTAAAAATAAAAATGCTCTTGTAAACAAAGAGCGAACTCGTGAATCGCTGCTTTCTAGCTTTGCATAAAAAACCAGTAAGTTAAGCTGGTTGGTGAAGAAGCTGCGATGACATTCAGCCAGAGTGAAGGACTGAATAAGGCCCAAATAAATGCACAGAACAACTTGCACAAAGGAAAGCAAGAAAAAGAAAAAAGAGAGAAGCCAATGACAGCAGAGTATCAAAAGATAACTTGAACGAAGAATGTGGTATACCCAAGACCAATACCCTACATAACATCGATTTTTTGAGATGTTTCTCAAGCTGAACAGTATAGTACAGTACAGTACATATTCGCTCTGTAAAAAACTGACAGTAGGAATTCTACCGATCATCACGAAAGTAGCTTTAATCGCTGTTGTCAAAAGCTGTGCTTCGCCGACAAAAGCTCATGGGAATACTGAATCCCGTCCCTGTTGGCCTAGATAACGATGCAGATTGTATGTAATTGATCATGATCACATCTGTACCATAATGTAGGGTTAATAGCTTGGTGATCCCATTCTTGAACGGCAACACTTGCGAATCGAAAGCTTAGAACTGGGATCTTGACGAGCAGAAAAACGTTCCTTTGGCGACGCTTCTGCTCAACGGAGTAGTGGAAAGGTGTTGTTGGGTTGAGCAAATATTACATAATACCGTCTGTCACAACTTGGTTTCGATGAAAGGAAATCAGTAATCACGAATCTTTAGAAGCGCTCAATGATTGGACGATGGCTTTAGACCAATAAACAGAGCGTGGACGTAATCTATTTTGATTTCACTAAAGGCATTTGATAAGGTTAGCACAGGAAATTGTTGGATAAATTGCAGTTACTGGGATTCCATGATAAAGTTTGCAGGTGGATACAGGGCTTCTTAGTGGTAGAACATTTCAAGTGCGTATGAACTCTGCTTATTCCGAGGTTTTCAGTTGTCAAAGTGGTGTCCCACAAGGTGGTGTGCTGTCACCAATACTCTTTGATATTTATTGTGTAGATTTGGGGTACTGCTGCAAGCAAGGGGCGCTAGAACGCAAGTGTCACGAACTCCATAGTGCAGGAACCATTAGCATTGCGGTGCCGTCCCTGGGATACAATGTAAGGGGTAGGACGGATACATCTTTGGTGAGTGACAAAATGTGGTAATAACTGATGGAGGAGATGAAGGAGTGATAAGAGCAATCAGCTTGAAAGTGGAGGTATTGGTAACTTTGCTATCTAAACACGCGATTAGGAAAGCATCCTTTCTGGTTTTGATGTCATCGCTCGAAATCCATTATACCGCTAATTTGAATTGACTTTCTAAGGTAGCCGGTGTTTGCGGAAACACGTAAGGCATGGTGTTTCTACTTCAAAATCGTTGGCATGAAAAGTTTTCCAACCGCTAAACTTTCTCAACATCCGAAGCGTGGTAGTTGTTTACAATAAGGGTTGATAGTAAGCAGTCCGACGAGCCATAATAGTTATCCAAAGCTTATTCAACCGCTAGACCGTTTTATTTTTGAGAATATGATAGATGTTCAGAGATATTGACGAACTAAATTGACTGAAATGACTGCTTTATCACCAGCTCTGTAACAACCTTTCGCTAACAACATCTGTTGCATAAAAAGCGTGCATGCTGCCTTATACAAAAGCCAGGCTATACTCACGTCAGTTCTGCCGAAACCCACTTTGAAATGCACGCGAGAGCGAGCGGAGACAAACTGGTAACGAATATCAAACTAATGCCACACTTTTTAAGTGTCATTCGCTATGGTTTCTCTGGTAAAGCGATTGCTGTACTTTAGAAGCTGTGCCAATTCCCATGGTACTTTGTTTGCGACCCTCAAGTAGAAATACACAGTCATAATAGACATTGTGTATTATGTCGCAACCCTGCTAGCGAAAATTCAATTATTCATCAGACAAGATGTGTCGCACATATTATTTTTAATTTGTGCTACCAGTTAATTGTGTAAGTGTAAGTTTGTTGTAAGTTGCAGTGCTACCGATATGGAACAGACAAGGTGGCTAGAGCTTTTACAATGTGATCTATGATCATACGCGCACGCGAGAATGGGGCGGCATCGAAAGAGCATAAAGCATTGCGTTATCAAGAGAACTTGAAACGTGACCGCAACGCAAGGCTCAACAGCCTTATTCACCCCAGCTTTTATGCGCTGCTGCACAGGAATTTGCGAGCTGATGGGGCTGATAAGCGGAAAATCAACACAGAAGGGAGAATGTATAGCCATAACTTACAAATAAATGATCTTGTACAAATGAAATAAACAATACATAAAGTGAAAATAAGGAGAAATAGCACAAAATACATAAAAATACGAATTGCAACTAAAAAACAGGTCACGTCGACTCTCGTGTCGACAACCAGACCATCAGCACAAAGTAGTAGTGCATAGAACGAAGCAACTCGCCGTTGACACAAATGGCAGAGAATGAGTCGGCAGAATAGACGACTGCGCAAATGAAAAATGCAGTGATAGGACTCCTATCAGAATTATAGCAGTTGGGAGTCGAGGTATCAGCCGCCGCACAAGGGCAGCGACTGAACGCCAATACTAAGCGGGATTCTCGGCGTCTGCTCGTCTGTTGCCACGCGGGTCTTCTTCGTCCGAACGCACCTCTTGATACACAGATTTATTGCAGGTTAACAGGCAAGGCAAGAGAAGGATAAGTGACCAATAGGCAAGGCAAGGAGGCTAACTAACTTTGAGAGCCGCTGGCCGCTATTTATACGGTAAAATGGGCGGAGCCGAGATGAAGCTCGCCGATAGTGCGGACATTGGCTCCGAACTGTAAACATTTTGCCCTTTCGAGCTACAGATCAGCCAGTTGATAAGGTTAACAACAGTTACAAATGAGTCATACAGGATGAACAGAAAAAAATAGAGAGATCACGGATCCTCTATATGGCGGCTGTCCGCGCTGAGATTCCTTTCCCATTACCGTGAGCAAAGATCATCGAGCTCACATAAACATAGTTGCTTTTTCATAGTTGCTGTTGTCTTCCAGGGAATTGTCATAAGCTGTGCTTTCGAAAACTGTGAATTTGCTTTTCTTTTGTAGGGAGGCAGCCCCTTGTGGAGAGGTAATCAAGTGCGTCCGCAGTGTAGGCTTATAAAATATTATAGTTAGCTCCACTTATGGTTAGGCATGAAATAAGTAGCACTAAAGACACGTTGCGCAGTGATTTTATTTATCTCTTTATTTGACCATTGTTTTTCAT